GGGTGGGGGAGTGCAGACTTGGAGGCTGGGAGGCTTCGGGCAGTAAGAGAGCCCAAGGGGGGGGGTCACTGTGGGTGCCAGTCAGCCCTCAGATGCCCTGTATCTTTGAATCCTGATGAGGGTCCCAAGGGGTTGGTTCTGGGATTGTCCCCACTTTACAGGGATCAGGACGGTGAGGCTCAGGGATGGAAGGACCTCACTCGAGATGTCACAGCCAAGAGTTGGCAGGTCCCGTCTGCTTGCTGAGCCCCTTCCTCAGCTGTGAAACAGGAACATTACTACACACTTGCAGAGGCAGTGTGAGCTGCTGCGGACAGCACACAGGAGGCCCTCAACAAACAGGGGTTCCTGGCTCTGGGGGCCATCTGTTAGCTTTGGCCTCTCCTGTGTCTGAGGTCATGACCCCAGCCAGGCAGCTCATGAATGCGGTACTGGCCAAGCCCCCCAATTCCCAGAGCTGGGGGCTGTGAGGGAGGCCTGCCCAGGCCGGCTGCTGCTGCTACCGCAGCCAAAAACGACAGCAGCTGGTGATGACGGATGGCTCTTCTTGGGTCAGGGTCTACACTAAGTGCTGCCACACATTATGTCACTGAACCTTCGTGACAACCCTATGAGGTAAGTGCACCTGCCAGGCTCACCGACAGGTGAGGATGTCGGGCTCGGAGGAGTGAAGTCACTGCTCAAGGTCAGCGCTTGCCATGGGCTCCCTCCCGTTGCCTCATCGACCCCTGCACCTTCTGTGAGCAGCACTTTGGCCTCGGGGTGGACCAGTCCCTTCTCCCCTTGTTCAGTGGAGCCAAATGAAGACTTCTCCAAGAGGAATTTTACTCAGGAAGAAAACGAAAGATACAAAAATGAGGAGATGGCCGGAGGGAAGATAGACTCCTGAAGACACGACTGCAGGTGTGGTGGGCCTGGGGGGGAGGGCACCCTGCTTCAGCCCGGAGGGGACAGGATGCTTGACCGAGCCACTCTAATTAATCTGGAGCAAGTTCCAGCCAAGCTCAATAGGATTCTCAGTGTCTTCCCAAACTTACTGAGCCAGGGCTGGGTCCCTTCTTGAGTTCCCATCAGAAGCACAGGTGAGGAATGGGGTCCCTCACCGGCTTCAGGCCAGCACTGACCCATGCCTGCCTTTCTTGGCCCCTTCCAGTCCTTGCCCTGACTCACTTCCTGTCATTGGAAGACATCCATTGACTGTCTCCTGTATGCCAGGCTCTGCCATGTGCTGGGAAACAGGTAAATGCGACATCACCCTTGCCTTGGAAGAGCTGGAGGCTTAGGGACTAGGGAGTGGGTGGGGAGACAGGCATCACAGTTCAGTCTGGAAGGAGTAACGAAAGCTGTGTGAACATAAAAGTGTGTGTGTGTGTTTTGAGAGAGAGAGAAATTGATAAAGGCAAATGGGTTAAAATGTGAATAGTCGGTGAATCTAGGTAAAGTGTATATGGCAATTCCTTGTACTAGTTTTGCAACTTTTCTGTAAGTTTGAAATTATTTCAAAACAAAATATTACAAAAAAATCAGGGGGAAACCCCAGCATGAACGAAGAGCTTTAGGGCCAAGAGGGAAAAGCAACCACCTGCTTGCAGGAGCTGGGAAGACTGGAGGAGGGACCTGCTGAGTTGGTGGAGAACGGGGGGAGTGGGTGTTTGGGGTAGACGACACAGCATGTGCAGAGGCCTGGGGGTTTGAAAGGGCCTGGCACCTGACACCTGCTGACCTACCCACTAGTCCACCCAAAACACCAAACACCTACTGTGTAAGAGGAGCTCCCCATGCTCAGCGTCTGTTATTTGAGCCTAGTATCTGGGCCTCATCGAACAGGCAGCCCTGGCCCTCAGTAGTGGCACCATCGTCCCGGGAAATCCTCTGCTCCCAGGCCACTCCCTGGATCTCAGCTTCTTTTCCAAGCAGCAATGTTCAGCAATGCCAAGCATGACCGTGCCTTTTTGGCTTCTGCCAGCTCCCAGGAGAATGGCTTCCAAATTTCTATCACAGTTGGTTTCCAACAACATCCAAATGGTTTGCCACAAGCCCAGCAGCCCTAGCTGTCCAGGACCACAGGTGCCAAGACAAAGGTTGGCCCAGGCAACGCCTTCCTGCTGCCTGAGCAAGTCCTAGGGCCCCACCGACTGTTGGTGGCTCCGGAGTGTCAGTTTCATGCTCAGGAAGTAGAAGAGGCAGCTGGTTTCGAGCACTTCCTCGAGGGCAGAGGCTTGACCCGCTGACCTCTCAAGGAGCCTTCCAGCTAGCTGCATGGAACGTTCTCTATGCCCTGGCCCACCGTCCTTTGGCTTCATGCCTTCTCCTATTTCTGGTCTCAGCTGAGGGCTTACCTTCTTGGGAATGCTTTCTCTGAGCCCCAGCTCTGGCCAGAGGAGAGGTCCACCCTTTGCTCCCACTCCCATGTCCCCTCCATCACGGCATTTTCTCATCATGAATAAGAGCAACACCCTGGAGCTGGACTGCCTGGGCTCGAGTCCTGGCTCTGCCACTTTCTAGCAAGTTACTTAACCTCTATGTGCCTCAGTTTCTTCTTTTGTAACATGGAGGCCTATTTTGTAATAAAGGGCCAGGTGAGTTAAAATACTTTGAACAGCATCTGGTTCCTAGTTACTGCTATCAGTGTGCAAGCCCTACTGAGCTGTGGTGGTTGACTTGGCTGAGAGCCGAGGAGGGCAGGAGCTGGTGCTGTTTCAGGGCTGGGCTTGGTGAGGCTCTCAATATGTGTCGTCAAAGGAACATGTGACTGGGATGGGCTCCCTAGGAGAGGCTAAGTGCTAAGGTGAAACAGCCCATGTCTGCAGCCCAGCGCTGAATTCTGCTTCTGCTGCTGACCCTCCGAGGAGCCCCTGTCTGAGCCTCGATTTCTCCCTTTGTAACACCGGATGGTAGCTCCAGGGATGAAGGCACTGCACACTGTAGAGTGCTGCCCAGCACAAAGAACAGCAACCTCCTCTGATGGCCCCCCAGCCCGAGCTCCCCTGCCTGGATCAGCCCCTCTCACGTCCCCTCCACCTGCACCCTGTGCCCTCGCCGGCGCAGGGTGCTGTTTTTACTTGATAAATGACTGAACAGTCTGGCGACTAATGAGCATATCATTCCCCACCCAAGGAAGTGGCAGTCTCTTCCAGGGTCCCCTGGTGGAGGACCCACCCCCCGCACTGCTGGCCCCCAGCACCCCTGCGAGCCCCGCCCTCACCTTGCGTCACCACCTTGCCGAAGACAGGCAGGGAGTCGAGTGTGGAGCAGTTCCAGCGCCGGTTGCGGAACTGGTACTGGCACTCCTCGATGGCGAGCTGCGCGCCACGGCGCACCGAGTCCATCACCTCCAGGTTCCGCTTGCACATCTGCACCTGCCTCTGGATCAGGCCCTTGAGCTTCTCGCATGTCTCCTCCTCTGAGATGCTCCCCACCGAGGACAGCTTGGCCAGGTACCTGGGGAGAGGGTGGCAGGGGTGGAATGCCATGCAGAGCCCCGCCCCTCCTCTGTCCACTCCCAGACCAGGCCGTGCCCAGCCCAGGTCTCTGGGAGCCGACTTGTCCCAGCGTGGGTCCTGGCTGTCAGCTTCTGTCTGGATCCAGTGACAGGCTGTCTTGTCTAGCTCTTGGGCCTGGAGGGGGGAAGTGCTATCTCCCATGAGAAGGCTTCTGCCTCAGTTGAAATGCCTTCTAGCTGGGAGTCACTATCTGCTCTGGTGTCTCTCTTTCCCACCCCCAGGCAGGGACCCTAGTGACCTAAGCCCACCTCCTGGCTGCAAAGCCAAGATCCTCACTGCCAGCCACATTCCAGGGCCACCAGATGGAGACCAGCATCAGTGCTGCAGCACTTGGGGGTGGGACAGTGAAGGCAGCGCAGGGCTGGGGGACTGGGGATGGTCAGCACACAAGTGGTGGCAGGCAAGGGAGTCTTCAAAAACCAAGCATGCCATGCTCTCCTCAGCCCCTTGGGTTTTTATAGCCTGAAGATGGGGTGACTATGCTGGCTCCACCTCAGGGTTCTGGCGAGGATCACAACCTCGATGAGATCGTTTATTCAAGAAACTCTGGGACCAGGGACATGTGCAGAGAAGAGGCTTTAATGCTTCCATTTCAGTGGAGGACAAGAGAGAGCACTACTGTTCATTGAACACCTAGTATGTGCTGTGCAAGGTGACAGGCAGTTCATTCTGGGGCATCCTTACCCCAGATCTATGAGGTGATAATTATTATGCCCATTATATGGATGCTGGAATGAGGGCTGCGAGGGTGATGTGCCCCAGGGGACACAGACAGCAAGTGCCAGAGCTGAGCCTCAAACTCCTTCAAACCCCAAGGGCCTTCCCCTTGCCTGTCTTCCTCCATGGTGGGTTGAGGGGCCCCGAAGGCTCTGCCTCATCTAATGACAGACACTTTGTGATCTTGACCAGAAGGCTTGACTTGTGCTGTAACTGCTGCCCCTCAATCTGTCCCTGGTCCAGGTGTTCCTGGCACATAGTAGGTGCTCAAGTGGCAACCTAATGATGGGAGGAGAGCTCTGGAAGGCCTCCTCTCCTTTCCCTGCCTCCCACATGCTCAGTGAGAGATGCATCTTCTCACCTCCCAGGCCAGGGCCACCTGGGGCTGCCTTCTGGGCTCTTGGGGGAGCAGCAGAGTACAGAGAACCATAGACTTAAGGAACACACCTGGAGAGGTGGTCTGGTCCAGGCCCCTCATTTTACAGACAGGCACAGAGAGGGACAGGGGCCTTTCCACCACCTCCCAGGAGGAAACTTAGACCCTGGCTGTACCCTCAGCCTCAGCCTGTGAACAAGACAGTGAGTGTCCTGCTCCCAACTCTACAGTGAACCAGGACCTCTTCCCCCCAAGGGGCTTGGCCAGCAAACCCGATTGGGGGAGCTTTCTGGAGGGTGGGGGTGAAGATGCTATTGCATCCTGTAAGGGAAGCCACAAATTTTTTGTCCAAAAAAGACTTAAGGGGGGAAGGTGACTGTTTTGGGGACTCAGTTTCCTCATCTGTAATGTGGGGAAGATACCACTGGTTCTGGCTAAATCAAGAACTGTTGTCAGAGGCAAAAGGGATGTTGTATGTAAAAGTTGGTCTGATGTGAGCCCAAGGCAACAACAGGGCAGGAACTCAACAACTGTTTGCTGAACGAAGGAGTGGACGATTGAATGGTGACCCAATAGAAAAGTACACAGAAAACCCTATTAAAATATAGGAAGTTTTTTATGATGTTGATAATAAAAATAGCAAACTTTTATGGAAATTAGTGAGGGGCTAAGTACTTTGCTTCCATTATTGCATTTAGCCTTTTCAGCAAGACAGCAAATTCTCATTTTATAGAGGAGGAAACTGGGGCACAAGACAGGTTAGCAATTCGCCTTGTAGGCAAAACCACACAGATAGTAAGAAGTGGAGCCAGGACTCGAGCCTGGTTTTGCCTGATTTCCAAGCCATTAGAAGAGACATTGTGGCTCAAGGACTAGAACTGACACCAGTGGGCAGAAGCTGCAGGGAGCTGGGCTCGTTCAACCTAAGGATGACAGCCAAGGCGCAGTCGGCGGGCTGCCTGCTGTCGCTGAGCTCTCCATCCCTGGAGGTGTGCGAGCAGCAGCTGGATTCTATTTGTCAGGCATGTGGGTTGGACCAGAGTGATGGTTTTCAAACCTGGCTGTGCGTCGAAACATTTGTGGGTTCGTTGAAAGTGCAGGTGCCTGGGCCCCGCTCCAGGTGGGCATCTGGGCTTTTAACACGTTCCCAGGAGCAGCTGGGAAGCCAGGCTGGCACAGGCCTGCAGAGCACTTCAGGGGAAGCTCTGGGGTAACCACTGGGGATGTTTCCTTCTCCACCTGAGGGAGATCTGATACTGGGACCCACTTTGGTCCTCACTGCAGCCTCAGCCTCCTGGCTGGGGGGCCAGTCTGAGTTTGGCTTTATTTATCTAGAAGTGGAGATAATGGTTCCTGTCCCAGGGGGCTGTTGGGAGAAATTAATGTGATTTGATGTGGCTGCTGCATCTGGCTCTGAGCTGGGTACATTGTGGGTGCACTGTGATTGTAAGGATCTCTCCCTCCCCTGGCAGTACAGCCGAGTGGGAAGTGGTTGGTCTCGGGCTGGGGAAGGCCAACCTCCCCTTGCCTCCTGGGGCTCCCCTGTCCTCTCTACCAGGTCCTATCTAGTGGATGCACAGAGACTGATTGTGTCCTGGCAGAAGCCTGAGTCTCTCAGAGGGGCACAGGGTGGGAAGATGGCTGAGGGGCAAGGGGAAGGTACATCTGGAAGGCTAGGGAACCACTTGGCTCCTCAGTGTTGCCTGGGTGCTCCCCTGCCTCTTACAGATGAGGGAAGGGGTCCCCTATGGAGCTAGTCTACCTGGCACTCTTGGCCTGCAGGGGGCGCCAAGAGCTCAGCTACTGGCTGTGGGCCAGGTCGATGTTTGGGAGGCCACAGTTGAGGGGGCAAGAAGCTGGGCCTCAAGTTGGATCCTTTCCTGCTCACACGCAGGGTTGGCCTCTTGGAGAAGGGTGGGGACCCCTATGTCCTCTGTGACATGGGGGCACAGAGCTGGCTTATCCCCATTTCAACCTATACGCACTCTGCGTCTAGCCAAGGGGCCAGGTCGAACTGTGCTGGGTCCTGGCATCTGGTGAAGGAAGGTGCTCAAGGGCAGGGTGAGCAGGATAGGGAGGCCTGCCTGAGCCACCAACCCACTGTGTGACCTTGGGCAAGTCCCCACCCCTCTCGGAGCTTGTCTCCTCGTGGGTACAATAACCCAGTGGGTCTGAGTGGCCATTCCCACTGTCATAGTGGGCAGCTCTCCTTATACAGACTCAGATGGGGGGGTTCCAAGCCTCAAAGGCCTCCTGGACCCATGCCAGGCTGATACATGGAGCTCCACTGAATGAGGAATGAGATGGACTGGAGGGGCCTCCTACCCCCTCTCCCTAGGCTCAGAGCTCAACAAGGAGAGATAGGCTGAAATAACAGTATTAGGGATTTAGGGGTGAGCTGCTAGGCTGCCACGGCCGTGACTCACTGGGACAGCTTCCAGGAAGAAGCTGAGAAACCTCTTCCGCTGAGGAGCATCTCTGCCCCCACAGCTGGCACCAGTGCCCACCACCCCCAGCCCCTGCCTTTATCTGGCCCAGCAGCTGTCCCCTTCTATGCCACAGAAGGCACAGCCCCACCCCCACCCCCACCCAGGCTCTCCCGAGTCTCGGGTCTTGCCTGGACAGGACTGGGTGCCAGAGCTGGAAATGGGGTGGAGAGAGATAGGACCCTGGGCATCGCAGGCTATCCCTTGCCTTTCTTGCTTGTTCTGGTATCCTTAGGGTATCTGGCCTTGTTTTACAGATGAGCAAACTGAGGCCTGAACAGGTGAAGTGACTTGCCCAAAGTCACACAGCTAGTGAATGGCAAAGCTTGGGATGCAAATGCAGCTCTGCCTGGGGCCTCTCTTTCCCCTGTACCCTGCTTGTGGATCTGTCCTATTGACAGTTGCGGGGGCTGACGCCACCCTCAGTGTCATGTCCAGCCCGGGGTCTCCTCAGTGCTTAGCATGGGGTGCAGCACATGAAAAGTGTCTAATAAAAACTTGCAGTGTGAACAGAGGGCTCCGTCCTGACTGGTCCCCTCTGCTCTCCTTCTGGCAGAGGTCTCCGGGCTGGTGAGAATGGTGTATGGGGCTGAGGGACAGCAATGGGGACAGCTTCTACTTTTCAGTCCACCGAGGGCTTGGAGACCCTTAGGGACTAGGCCCACCTAGTCCTGGGGACCTCAGGAGCCCCTTCTCTGCACCCTCAGGTGGCTCAACCTTTCCCCCAGAGACACGCATGCCACTTGCTGACCCTGGAGCTGGGCTGGGCTCCAATGTTGACTGCATAAGCCATTTCTGGGGAAGACAGAGAGCCTGGGCACGATCGGTGTCGGCTGCCGCTGGGCTGGGCCGGCCTGTGGAGGGCCTTGACCATCCCTGCTGCTTCTCCGGCCCTAGTTGCATTGCCCCAGTTTAGGCTTCTTCCTGCCACTGCTGAGTACATGCTTAGCAATTTGCCACCTGCTGCCCCGGCCACCCAGGACTCTAGCCACAGCCGTGCCATCGATCAGGTTACCCCACCAGCCCGGGCCGCCCCGGCTGCTGCTGCCAGCTAGCTCGTGCCCCATCTTCTCCAACAGGGGCTGCAGGTCCTTCAGGCTCCTCCCAGGAGGCCCTCCCCGCACCCGGCCCGTGCCTGTAGCCTGCAAGGCTGGAGGGCCCTGGCCCTGCCAGGGAGATCAGATCCTCTCGGCCACCTGCTGTTTTCATTAGAAACTAAAATTAGCTGGGCTTGTCCCAAGCTTTTCCAGGTTTGCTTGCTTTTTAAAAAAAATATACAAATTCCTAGAGGAAAACCCGCACCTCTCGGACTCCTCCCCTGCTCTTCCTCTGCGCGTCCAGAGGACAGGAGAC